CGTTTCCCCTGTGAGATCAAGTAACACGCAAAACTGTGAAAAAGCTGCCCAACTGCGGCATCCACCTCCCGCATGCCTGATGTGCAGTGGATAATTGCCTGGCGAAAAAGACTCTCAACGTCGGAGGAGGAAGCCTCCCTCTCATGCAACAGCTCGACTCGCTTCAACCAAAGTGGAACGCAGAGCGGGATGCAGCGAATTTGTGCTTGGTTAAGCCACATAGGGTACTCGTCAACAAGATATCTTAGATAATCTAGCGGGGAAGCGTCGGCGAATACACATCGCATCACCTTCTCCTGTTGGGAGGCATCTATGCCTCGGAGCTCCTCACTGAGAGCGAATGCTTCCACTAGTTGGTTCTCAGTTTCAAATGCTACATGGTAAGTCACCCGCAACTCTTCAGGACTAGGGGCTTCACTGAGAAGTCTAGTAAACACCTGGCGACCCTCAGCTATCAGGCCCTGACCGTAGAGAAACATCGCAAACGACATTGAAAAATAATATGGTGACGCGCAATATTTGGAACCGTACCCTACAAGCTCAGTTAGAGCCTTGATTTCCCCAGAGTATTGCCATCCATCAGACTGAAATATCATGGCAATCGGCTCCCAAAAGCTGGGATCTTTTAAAACCACTTGATCAATTGTAATCATGTCAACATCCGTACAGCCCTGGACAATCTTTATACACTCCTGCAAAAACTCATCGTTGTTTCCACGATGGAAAAGTAGCGAGAAATATTGAGCCTGGGCCTTCACAGTGCAGTTAAATTGCAAATAAACAGACCAGATGGCCTTGAATGTTTGCGTAGGTACGGTACCGCGTGCGCTCCAGATCATTGCGATCTTCCAAATAAGGTGATGCTGCGTCACAGGAAGGATACTCAGGCTGCGGCCAATAATATGCCGGACAATCACGATTCGCACGACTGGAAAAGATATCACAAACTCAAGATAGGAAACCCACAACAGAGGCATTAGAGAAAGCTTCTCAAGTGCACGTTCAAACAATTCACGCAAGGACTGAAACCACTCGTTTGGTGTGCATAATGACATAGTTTCCTCCCGTCTATATCGCAAATACGAGGACCACAGTTTGTACGAGTAAGGCAATGCACGGACAGCACGCTCATATACGATGTTGATAGCGTTCGCCTTCGCCGATGGGTCGGGGTAGGTTTCCGCTGAAACTGCTTTTATTAGTTGAATCCATATTTTAGAAGAAACTGGACATTTCAACACTTCCCACTCCAGCGCATCAACGATTAATCCATGGTTCATGTCTTCCTAATACTTCAAGTTTATTTTTAATGAATTAAAAACCTTTCCAGAACTCTATGTGTCCCCTCCATGTCCGGGATCAAAGAAATGGGAAAAAAAAGTCCATTTAATACTTAAAAAATATTGTAAATTTCAGAGAGATATTTTTTAGATATTCATCCAAAGGATTCTTTACTCATGAGCCTACGTGATGGCATGAATTGGAAATAATCCCATACAAGATGGAAATGTGATAATTAAATAATGTTTCAGTGAATCCATCGAACCGAGCCCCGTCCTTATGGTCAAGTGCACAAAGAAATCAACTACATTTCTTCTGACTAGCCAGTGTCCATTTATTCATGAACTGGCCCGGGGTTGCAAACCCTCTGTGAGGGCAGAAAGCAGTGTTTGTCGAGAAAAATATACAAGTGCAGAGGCAAACCGATCCTCACCGCAAATGTCATGTTCACCAAGACAATGAAAGAGGCTTCGAATGAAAACAGAAGAAGGAAGCAATGACAGAGCTGAAACAGGTCCATCATTGTGAGCAAGCAGCGAACTTTCTACGGTGTCTAGAACACGCCTCACAGCTAGAAATATCTCAGCCTCCTCGCAATTGTTTAGGGAAGAAAACTCGGCTTGCATCGTCGCTACATGGCAGGATAGATGCTCGTCTACTTTAGACACAACAAGATGAACCTTTTGTTGTCCGTGGTCTTTTGCACTACTCCGTACAGTACATACAATCGACGAAAATATTGTTCCGGTGAAATCAGAGAGTTCCCCCACGACAAACACTGTGGTTGGTATGCCGAGTCGCATTATCTGCTGCAGAAGCTCCAACTCGTCCTCATCTATCTGCCGTAGTACAACTTCCTTACAGTTCGGGGCCTCCTTTGAATTACGAAGCGTTGAAAGGAGGGTGTTGATTATTGTAGAGCGTCCACTGCCATGGCAACCGGTTACCGCGACCACATGGATAAGGGTCTGCACGTACCGTAGCTCCAGAAACAAGCAAATACCCCACAGATGTGCTACCTCACATACGATTTTAGCCTCAATACCACCCAACAAAGAGTCAGAGGCTAAAAAAAGTGGGTAGAACAACTCGTAAAATTTTTCAAAGGATAAGGTCTCTGTGAAACAGGGGCAAACACTGTCCTCTACTAAACCAATATTACTATCACTGCTGCGCAGATGCTGAAGTACACTCGCATAGAGCAGAAGCTCCAAGCCGACCAATGGGAGGTCTCGAGCTACATCCATCACATGAAACATGAAAAGCAGACGCTGCAGCTTCATTTCGTATTCCTGATCACTAAGGTGAGGCAGACCATGGAAAATTTGCATTTTCCAGTGGGATACACGGGTTAAAAATTCTGTCATGCATGTCGCTTTACCCTCGCTGTACACACCCAGTATGTAGCTGATAAAATCAGATCCTTTAAATTGAAAGGGAGGAGATAGGGTAAAAAAACCCGGCACCACAGGATCAGGCTTCCGCATAAATCTGGAAGCGACAGCGGATGCAAAAGCCATGAAACCTCCCTCAGCTTGTTGTTGATGGTGCGCATAATGGGAAGACAGTTCCGCAGCCGAAGTCAAGTTAGTCAGCTTCTGCTTAAGAGGATCCCCCAGACTTAACGTGTTGTTTCGATGCATAACACAAGTGCTACTGCCAGCGATAAAGAGCAGGCAATTTACGCTGGCATCCATAAAAACAGACGGAAGTCCTGTCAGCCAAGCTGAAAAAGCAGACTTGGTGTCGTATGCGTGTCGTATAAGCTCAATCATTCCAACAGGAATTGGAATTGGGACGGACGTCTTAGTCTCTACGATTCCCAAATCGGTTTGCACCAGCACCTGAACCATCAAATGACCATCACCCGATGGTTTGGCGCAGTCGGCAGAAAAAATACCTGGCTGCACGACCACCTGCATCATGGAAACGGAGGCTGTGATGAGGCTTGGAGAAGAATTTCGCATGGTCATCACCAGCGGGAAGCCGTTTGTGCAACATACGCCGGTAACAAGTGGGTTGAAGTGAAGATGAATACCCTGAATATCCAACAGAAGTGTCGCCATATCGATGACTCGATAGCGTATACTGTGGATGCGCGGTGCGAGAAGACCACGAGAACTACAAGGAAGTACAAGATCGCACAATAAGCTTAGATGATGAGGAATATGTAGACATTCCAACTGCTCGTCGTCCGTCACAGGGTCCATGTTAGAGATCTCGAGTGAAAGTCTAAAACAACCCAACTGAGGGTTTAGTTGGGGCGCGACACGTATGCCTAAAGGCACGTCCAGCAGCGTCCCTTCCCCTTCTTTGGAAGAAAATGAGGCACTAGCGGTAGACATGACGTCTGAGAGCTCCGCAGAGGCATCGCAGCGCTTTGCAAAGTTTGAATAAGAAAGAACGTTACCGCTAAGATGCGCAGCATTGTGAAGCAAAGGCGGTTCGTGCGTAAAACTTCGGCGGGCGGTGCCGTACGTTATGCAAAGAATACGTGACCCCAAGCCCTCTACCAGGCCTGATTCAGTGTTCGGCGTTAAGAACGCAAACACACTATAGGCACTCATCGCCGCAATCGTGCCGAGTTCTCCAACACCGCAGAAAACCACTGCCGCCTGCTCCTCACACAACGTCTCTAGTAAAGCTGAGGTCGAAAGCTTTTCTCTTCGGCCTTCCTTTTTTGCAGTGCTGGTTACCACAAGATAGTAGATAGAGGAACTCTCAGCAGGCAGCTGTAGCTTTTTGTACAATATGTGTACCTTGTGGCAATGTACAGCCGTGTTGAGGACGCAATAACCTTTATCGTCAATCCTACTCACGTCGGAGCGATATTTCAAAAAGGTCATTGGTATTAAATCATTCGAACACATATACAATGCATCGAACAAAAGAGGACTGTTCAATGCTCCAGGACGTAGCCATGGCATAGGTGCAGTGCAGCTTGCTAAAAATGAAATTTTAGCAGATCCCAATGCAATCGTGCCGTTCTTTAGGGTGCCCTTAGCGATTAAACGCACGTAAACCGTCTCGCCTGGGTAGAGCAACGGGATGGTGATATGTAAAGCATCAGATGAAAGACTAAGAGGATGCGCTGCATGGGCATGCGAGCCATTCCACTCGGTTGTATAATGCCACTGGACGTTCTCTGAACGAGAACATTTTTCAATGAACCGTGGGGCCTCCCAGCAGAGAATAGCAAATGTCGGGTACACTACAGCCACCTGAATCGGTCCGAAGAAGACACCAAGACGTGGATTGCCAGTGGTAAAATCGGAAGCCTGTCTTTGGATCATTTAATCATACTGCACTCATGAAGAAGAAAACACTAATAATACTAAAAATGAGCAAAATACTCTAAGTCTCTTCCTTGAAACAGCGCGCGTGTGATTCCCTTTAGTAACAGATCTACAACACATGCAATATCAAAGAAAATAAAACTATTAAAATTTTCTTAAACAGATTCGCGTTATCATGAACAACTTAGTAAATTGGTTAAAACTAGGACAAAAATATATGTCTTGGATAGCACTTCCCTCTCCCCCACGAAACGGTTGGCGTTGTTTTCGTGGATATAAAAACATAGAACCAAGTGTATTTATCCCACGTCACTGTTACCTCTCTTATCCAACTCCACTGAAGCAAATAAAGTGAATCTCTATATACAAATATTTATGTGTATGTATATATGTATGTGTGTAAAATCTAAACTCCACTTCCCGCACTAGCGTGCTCTCTCAAAAGAGGGTGCAACACTGCAAGTCGTTCTCCAATTTTTAGAATCTCCAATCGCCATTCGCCTGTTTTCTCTCCCTGTGACTTCAGCAAAACAGGTACCAGTGAATAAAGAACTAATGTAGTGTAGTGGGCAATATCCACTAGACTATCCCAGAATATATCTAAAGGGCTCCCCCACGTGAGGAAGGGATACCGAAGAATATAAAGAGCGCGCTCCAGGCTGGTGCTGAAGCGATCAAGATCATTCATAGCTGCCGTCAGACGAGCCTGTGCCATAAGAAGCAACACAACTGCGTTTGTATCAGTTGCGTAAAGTGCAACCGGAGTGTTGGAAAGCAACTCGTACTGCTGAACTGTCTCCCTCTCCTTCATCGAATAAAGTATATAAAAGGCAACCAACTCAACCGGTGGAATCGTCGCGTTCAATTTCATTTTTTCCACCATATAAGTGCTGGAAAAAAGGTCTTCGTGGTTGATGTCAATACTCCGCATGAACAACTCGCAACGCTGCCGCGTCTTGTCAGCCATACACCGATCCGGTGTCTCCACAAACCAAGTCAACAAAACCGTCAAAACACAGCAGACGGGTGTTTCCGTTTCGTCTCCTAAAATCTGAAGGGCCGCCGCAGTAGCAAGCTGTGTGCTATCAAAATCACCAATGCAACGAATATACTCACTCCATAGCACGGTCTGGCTCATCTCCGAATCCGAAACCGACTTTTTGATAATCTGCTCCACATACTGAATGCGAACGGAGAAAACTCGAAGCAGGGAAAGTTGAGCGGCTGATTTCATCTCGTGGAGCATGTGCGGGTTGTGTAGGCTGTGTTGGCAGCCGTTGATGAGCTCCAGCTGCCTGGTCAGAAGTTGGCTGCCCAATTCCTGGATCACGCTGGGGAAGTCGCTGCCAAAGGTCCAGACGTGATCGGAAATCGAGGCCAGCGGGAGGGACTCCAACCGCTCTAGGGCCCCTGGCTGTTTGGCGCAGATCAACATCAACGTGAGGTTCTCACGTGCTTTGGGGAGCAGCGCGAAGGCCTCAGCAGCGCGGATCCCGAGGGCCTCCTCAAGCAACCCCACACAGGCCGCGACGTCGCCGCCACTGGACGCGTAAATGGCCCCCCGCGCGAGGATGTAAGCGACATAGCGCGAGAGCGCCTCGGCGCAGAAGGTATCGCGCAGGGTGAGGGCGGCCGCGGTGGCATGGAGGGAGAGCGTCCGGGCCGCCGCGCGGCAAGCCTCGAGGCAGGCCTCCACCCCGCCCCGCCGCTCCATCAGGACGTGCACGTACAGCAGCTGAAGATGGGGGGAACTGGGGAAGAGCAGCCGCCCCTGCTCCGCGAGCCAGAGCAGCCGCTCAGGGGTCCCCCCGTGCAGGCGGACCAGACAGCGCCACCTCAGCGCCGTCGGCTGCTCCACGAAGTGGGAGGCCGCGGCGGCGGCCGCACCCCACGCGCGCCGCTCCTCCTCGCAGAGGAGATCCTCGCGGAGCGAAGACGAGGGGGG